AAAAAAAAAAAAAAAAAAAAAAAAAAAAAAAAAAGGTAGTATTGCTAGGGGAACTGGAGACTGAGCTACAAGGCTGTTTCTGTCACAACAGAAGTTACAGATATTATACATGCAGCCCACTCAGTCTGAATAGAGAGGTCTGTCTGTGGTTCAGTTTTTGTTTTGTTTTGGTTTCTCCCTGCTCCTCCCCTAAACCCAGATGTCTATATTCTCCCCAAGTATATAGCTACCAGCTTGTAAATCTGGTTGGGCACCATTTCTACCATAGCCACCAGAGCTTGGTGTCTTCAGTCAAATACTCTTACTTGGTTCTGGATATATCTGTCCCATTTTCACAGTATAATGCCACTGTAACAGCATGTAATGAGAGAATTTTTAAACCCTTGAGAGAAGAATACAAGAGTGTGTGACAACAATTTGTTGTATAATAATCTCCATTGCTCTTTAGCTTATTCACAATAGACAGCTTTTCAGATTAATTAACTGAAACAAAGCTGAATTGTTTAACAAGTCTCTAAAGCTGTTTACTGCATTGGGTACCGCTGGAGTTTAACTTCTCAAGCATATGCACTTCATCAATTCAATTATCTAAAAGTCAGGGCTGTCCAGGCATATTTTTTTAGACAAGTTTTGTCTTCTAGGCACTTCTGCCACAAACTTTTTTCTGTAACTGAACGGCTGCAGGGAGACAGGATTAGGATGAGTAACGACACAGGCCACGTGTCCCAGTGATGATTTCTTAAATGCAGTATACTGTCAGCATTAATAACTTAAATGGAAAAAGTAAGAACACACACACACACACAAATATCACATAGCTGTACTGAATTTTGACAGAAACTCCATATATAGGATAACAATGCTGGGTTATTTCACAGTTGATAGACATTCACATTTGAGTAAAATGCTTTTTGTCTATTTATATAGCATAATATGATCTTTTCTAAAAAAAACCCCTAGAATTTATGAGTAACAATAGCTTAGTATTTTTCTTCATTATCTCTTTCTTAAATAAATGAAGGAGACAAAGATCAAATAGGTTGTCTCCATGAGACCTGAGACTCTGCCTAAGCTTTCTGCATTTCAATTTCCTTTTACAGAATTAGGGAAAACAGAAAAACCAGAAGTAGAACAGGATGCTTTAAACAGAAAAACTGAATACTATACATTTCACTAGTACATAATCATGCTTCTTCAGCAACTCTTAAATTTTAATTTTTATAAGGAAGATGCTAAACATTGATCAGTAAATCCTAAATCCCATAAAAGTGTTGTAATTCTGACCAAGAAAAAGGTCCAAGACTAAGAAGATCATTGAAAGAGCCCATTGCATAATAAGCAAGTCTCTAGTCAGAGGCATGTAGGTCTGCTTTGAATATATATTATAAAGGTATTAAAAAAAACTAGTGAGGTTTTAAAGTATCAACAAGTAGTAAAGAAATCACAGAACTGCAGATCAAGAGAAACATTCTCCACAAAATTAATCTTTGTTGGAAGTAGATCCTGCCCTAACAAGGGTCAGAAACCAACAAAACCAACCATCAGAACAGAATTTAGTCAAAACCCATACCTGAGCAAGTAATCGGTACCTAGAAATATTTTCTCAGTCTCCTGCCAGACACTTTTTTTTGTGGCACAGCAAGTATTTTAACATTTATAATACTGTACTTGGAAGCATATTCACAAGCTTAGGAAAAAAGAAATTAAAACCTCTTATTCATAGGAGCTTTCTGTTTTCCATTCACTCTCTAATATTCTGCTTGCCAAGAAGGCTCAGGTTTATCACACATATGCATAACAAATATTAAGGTAATAAAGCTGGTTATCTAGACCCTCCTTAATTTTATGGTGAAGCAAGAAAAAAAAATGTTTTTTCTATATCTTTTGAAATTAAGAACTACAGGTCTTGCAATGGAAGAATCAAGTGATAAATGTTTAGAAAATCTTATCTAATTGTCCAGGAGGTAGGCAGGAACTCCTATTTTGGTCACATTTGTTTTTTCACTGAGTGCTTTGGTAGAACAGGGAAAAAAATCTAATTCAGTACAACTAAAATCCAAAGGGAAGGTACAACTTAGCATGTCCTTGAATGGAAATTTTTTGATACAGACAGATGTTTGGGTTTGTTGGGTTTAAGTCACTTTTTAAAAAAATATCTCTTGAAAAGAGAAGCTTTTTTTATAAGTGACTACTCTCATTCTCTGGGTTCAGAAGAAGCGTGGCACCTCCACATGTTTTCTCCATCCCTAAGAGAACTACCACCTTCTTAAAGAAAATGCAAATACCATTCAAAAGATCACTCTAAAGTAAAAGAGGACAGTGTCCCTCAAATTTCCTTCAATCTCTAGTTATTCTGGGTCTTATCATAAGCTTTAGTTTCAGAACTGTGTGGGGAGCCTTATGGGACAACCTATTGATACTAAATTATTAATCTTCCAAAATTAAGTGAGAACCACTCATTAACATGGATCCTGATCTTCTATATACTTAAGCATCTCAACTTCAACTTGATCTCAAAAGGGGCGTATAAATGCAAATATTTACAGGATATAAAAATATGATCTTTAAATTTTATGGGCATAATTCACTGTTACAGTTCAAGATGCAGACATTTAAGGCAATGCTGCAAACTGCATTCCAATAAATATAAGAATCTACGGGGGGCTAGTTTATGCATAACCATAATGGCATTTTCACAATTTGAAAATAACTGCTAAAGGCAAGTAGAACGTTGTGATGAGTTTTACTGTAAAAGTTATTTGATGCTAGAAAATACTTAGACTTTAAGTCAGCTTCTTTTTAAAGAAATCCTCGTTTCTTATTGACTGACACTAAATTAAAATTTTCAGTAGATTTTATAGGACTGAAATAATTACTTTCAAACTAGAAAGGAGTTCGTATCTACACAAAAACCCCCTCTCATTTTCCACTGTCCATCTTAGACTACTGCTAATTAAATGACCAGCTGTTTTACAGTTATGCCCATAACATTTGGTCGACAAGAAAGAAGTTATTTAAAATAGTATATGATCATAAATCTCAATCGTTGCCTTTATGCTTTTCTTCTTCCAAGGCCACACAGTTTATAGATCCAAATCATACAGCCTATCACTAAACATGTACTTTCAGTGTCCAATGCCATAAAATCACAATATGTAGATGACTATTTGTGCAAAAGGTCCTTAAATAAAGAATGGTTAGTTATGGTTAGGAATGGTTATCTGTTGGTTTCACAGATGGGTAACTGGTTTATCTTTTGCCTAGAAGTTTATCACTGCAACCCTCTTCAAGGCTTTTTTTAATGTCAAGACACATACTGTCTTGACCTCAGACCTGCCTTGTCACTGTTGACTTGCCTGGTGTCCCTGGACTGTTAGCTGAACCTGGTTACTGTTACCAGACATGCTTGTTCCTGCTAGCCTTACCTCACCTTGCTACTCCCTGACATGTCCAAGCTCAGTCAGGTATCCTGCCACACTTGCTTAGTTTTCTGCATGTCAAAATTAGCCATTTTTCTGCTTTGAGGTTATTCTTGAAGATCTGCCAGCTCTCCAGAGCTCCTCTGCAATTCAGACCAGTTATTTATTCAATTCTACCAAGCAGAGGCCTGAACAGGATTAACATCTGTTCTTCTATAGCACAGGGTTCTAATCCTACTACTCATTTTGCTCACTTCATTAGGACTTTAGTCTCCTGCCCCAGACCACATTCACAATCAGTTCTTCCCTGTTTGAGAGTAACAGGTCTAGCTGAGCACCTCCCCTACAGAAAGCTGTTTATACTCTCAGGAAACATGCCTTTTTATTTCAAGTCATTTTAACCACCCCTGTCAGTGATGGCAAAATTTGGTTTTAGATAAGCTAAAACACGAAGCAGTTCACACTTCTATAGTTGCACACAGAGCCTTTCACTCACAAGTAATAGCACAGCTATCTCACACTGCAGCTCCTTCATATTTTGGCACAGCATCCACATTTTACAACCCACTGGAAAAAGGACTTTTACTTACCTGTCAAAAAAATTCATATGCCACTTTCATTTCATAAACACACACAAAATAATGCTCTTTAGCAGGGTACTAACATAGTGCCTGAATCTACCTTCTGTTGTGTTTATGTTCCCCATGGGGTTTCTGTTGCAACACAAGGGCAGGAGGAAGTGCTGGATCCTGTATTCCCACCAATCTTCCTGTATCTCCAATGGCTGAGCAGAGTTGTACCAGTATAAGTAATTTTCTCACTATTCAACAGACATTACACCAAAGACAGTTATGGCTTACACTGAAATTCCATGTGAGCCACTGCTAAATGCTGCATTCATGCATATACATCAAGACCATTTCTTGGCTTTCACATGACTTACGCACTGACCTCAAGTGTTCTAGTATCACGTACCACTTGTATTCAGATTTGTCTGTTGGTATCAATAGATGAAAAAAGTAGATACTATACTGTTCTCAAGTAAAGTATATTTAAAAGCATATTATCAGAAAAGGGACTGTGCAGTCTCACCTTGCAATGATTCGTTGGGTGTATCAGTTGACGTGCTAGTGACTGCTGATGAATTCTGAACATTACCCAAATTTTTTTCTTCAGATTTTGAGGCCACATTTCTGAGAACTGCCTCCTCTTCTCTATTCGAGGTATGCGCAAGAGAAGATGATGAAGTCTCAGCATAGAGTCGTTTCAGTACTTTCCCTATGAACACTGTGGGGTAAGAAGACTTTCTTCAACAGAAGTTTTAAAGGTATTTCACAACTTTAAAAGACCAACAACTAATTGATACAAGATAGTTTCATATACAAGATAGTTTCTCTCATATTCCATGCAAGTCTATCTTCAGTAGTCCTCACCTCTCACAGGTAAAGTTGAAAATTAATACATTAAAGTCCTAAACTTGAGTCAGAAAAACAGCTTTAAAACCCCAGAGTTCACTAGCAAGGTTATATTTAAAATCTGTTTGACTACATTTAGCCAAAAATTAATACAGTACATTTACAGACTAAACACATTAATTTTAAAAATTTCTTTTAAAACAAGTATCTTCCTACAGAATTGTTACAAGGCTTCTCAAAATGCAGGTCTCTTCTGGCACAAAGGCATCACAATCAAATTACTCATTAAAATTGGTAAGCTACAGCTATTTAATCACATAGAAAAACTAGAAGTAGACAGCAGCAGAAACACATGGTAACCCAATTATTTCTACAGAATTAGCAGTATTCTTATACGCCTCTTCCTCTTATGGGCCCCTTTCTGACGACACTGGCAATCTGCTACTAGTTACTCAAATGCAAGCATCATTTGATTAAAGGAATATATACAAATAATCTACTCATCAGTAACACTATAATATTTGAAATATGCATGCATCCATATAATCACTTGAAATTACATAATATATTAAAATATAAATTAATACTAGAAGTTTTTATCTATTGCAAAACAACATCCCCAGTTTCATGAATTCTATGTGATCAAGTAGATATTGTGGTATGGGGGGAGGAGAGAAGTGTGATTTGGAGAAAAACATGTTATCTAAACTCCACTTTAAATTTAATACACAGTATATGGACACTATACAAGCAACCTGGTACAGACTCGCAAATAATTCTGCTATGAGAAAAGGCCTTACATTGTTACAAGAACGGCTCCTACTGCAGCTTAACAGAACAACATACTATCATCATATAACTCTTCAATACATTACTTTCCTTCACAACTGAAAAAAAAATCACCTTCACTGAGCTGGGAAATCCTTGAACCACTAGTTCTCCATAGACACACTTTACCTCCACATGTACCTTGGTGATATGCTTCAATTGTCATGTAAATGACTAACTATAAGGGAGTATGTCTCAGACTTTTTTTGAGCTCTTACTGGTCTATATGTGATCACTTACTGCTTCTCCCCAATCTCTCAAATAATCGGTGACCTTATTATGAAAGGCCTACAACAAGATATAAGCCTGAAGAGAAACTTCTGCAGAAGGCTTTGCTCACAAAGCCCAAATTTTACTTTTTATATGTTTATCTATCATTCAGTGACATAAAACCCGCCCTCTGACTAGCTACTAGCAATGTCCCCATCAGGCACAATCCATTTTGCAAGTTATGTGTTAAGACTACTGTTTGCAGAACAACAGATATCAACAAGTGATGGTGATTTTTTTTTTTCTTAAGGTTCCTTTGCCAGGATATTCTACAGCTAGAAAGACAAAATCCACAGTTACTCTCCTCAGAAAACAACTAGAGAAAGTAGACAGAAATAAGCACTGTAATAAGACAAAGTTAACTGCCCTTTGCAGATCTGACTCTAAAGCAAGTTATCCAAGAAGTTTATCCTGGATCCTTTCCCTGAGTACTGCTACTAATGCTGCAGCATTTTAATGAACTCTATTAGAGCTGTTACCAAATGTCATGGTTTAACCCCAGTAGGCAGCTAAGTCCCACACGGCTGCTCACTCACTCCCCACTGTGTGGGATGGGAAATGGGAGTAGGAAAGGTAAAATTGAGACAACTTGTGTGTTGACAGTTTAATAAGTAAAGCAAGCAAACAAAACAAGGAATTCATTCACTGCTTCCCATCTGCAGGCAGGTGTTTAACCATCTCCAGGACAGCAGGGCTCCATCATGCATAATGGTTACTTGGGAAGACAAACAGCATCACTCTGAATGTCCCGCCTTCCTCCTCCTTCCCCCAGCTTTATATGCTGAGCATGACATCATACGGTGTGAGACATCCCTTTGGTCAGTTGGGGTCAGCTCTCCTGGCTGTGTCCACTTCCAACTTCTTGTGCACCTCCAGCCCACTCACTGGTGGGATGAGAAGCAGAAAAGACCTTGACTCTGTGTAAGCACTGCTCAGCAATAACCAACACATTGGTGTGTTACCGACACTGTTTTCACCACAAATCCAAAAAACACAGCACCACAGGAGCTGTTATAAAGAAAACGAACTCTAGCACCACCAAAAGCAGTACACAAAATAACACTCAAGAACTTGCATAGAGGAAACTATTCTTCCAAAGGAAATGATCACTGAGATACTGATGAATCTACATATGGAAATACATTTTCTCCAAATCCGCTGAGGAAAGTCAGCCTCCTCATAGCTGCAGAGGATTTTATGCTCCCCATCTTGAAATCTGTTTTCTCTAGTCATCTGTTCAGTTACCCCCACAAAAAAATGACTTCACTCTTCCTTTCCTTTTTAAAACAGAGGGACTATATTCACACTAGCATTGCTTCAGAAAGCAATATGAGACCAGTTTTGATACATTCATTCCTTCTCATTCACATGGGGCGCACCCCATCTCCAATACTTGAGAAAGCAAGCCAGAACCCTTGGAAGAGTGTGAATACTGAAGAAAGCATTCTTTAACAAAAAAATATCTCTTGCTTAGAAAGTAGTACCTAGCTCAGTGGCAGTGATATACTTCAGCAAAGATGTGGTTTAGCTGTCAACACCAAAGCACCATCCAATCTTACAGGCTAGAGTTTTCAGCAGACACAGGAAGAAGCAGCTGGATGCAGAGTGGGGGCGTTCTTTGTTGCCCGCAAAGCTTTCACACCTGTGTCAGCGCATCTCAGCACTGCAGTGTCCTCTCTTAAGACAAGTAGTAATTCTCAATAACCACAACAGAATGGAAGTGAGCAGTGGTAACACCCAGGCATGCCAAGTCCCTGTCTGGAACCTGATGTATTTCAAGCCTTCTGAGGACAGCAGGAAGCAGTGACTCCCAGCAGTACACCTTCCTCAAGAGAATGAAGAAGGTAGTTACCACTAGAGAGCTGCTGAAAAAAACTGATTTAGTCTGAACTGTTTGGAATTCTAATTATATTCTAGCCTGAAGAAAAAAAAATAAATATCTGCCTGCAGCCCAAAACTTTTTGAACAGGTTTGTCCCATGTATCAATGAACAAGGAAATTAGGCACTGAGGAATATCTATCCTGCCATACTCAGCAGCTTTACGTGCTCCAGAGAAGCACTGATTTGTAGTTAGAACTCTGAGCTGAGCTACCAAAACATTTTTCAGATTACAGGATGCTCTTTTTTCAGGGTTTTACTGCTGCAATTACTTTAAAAAGTTATCCTGTGATATCCATGAGCATTGGCTTAACCGCAGGAGGTTGGTCTTGCCTGATGCTAGAGAGCAGTTTTTCTACCCTATTCAAAACTCTCCTTAACCTGATGGCTTTGGCACTATGCAGCAGAGATCAGTCTATCCAGTAAGAACTGCTCAAACCCTTAACAATAACTACCCCTTAACAGAAGATTAGCAATAAAGAAAAATCAAGGAAAAGTATCTACTACCAAACATGTATCTAACCTATCAGAGTTCCAATATGGAATAAGGCTTGCTCTCACCATATCCATAGCATAGCCAAGTACATCCAGTTATTTGTTGCTGTACTTTTCCAGTCAACATAACTGATGGAGGATCTGTACAGATTTAAGTGTTCTTTCAACAGACCAATCTGGGAACACTTTTCTACTTTTCATAGAAGACTGATGTCTGTAAACAAGCATATACAATCTTAAGACATGCTTTTAGAAAGACCTCAAGAAAAGACAGGGGAAACCACAGAAAAGTGAGATACACACTATTTGGAGTCAGAACCAATGGAAATTATCACATTTACATACAGTGTTAATGCACAACGTACAAGGGAGTGAATTTAATATAGTCTACTGGGTATGTTTTTGAGAACAGTCTTGAAAGTTGTATTTGCATATTACAAAACCTGGTGTTCCAGTCTGGAAGAGGAAGAATAGTTTGAGGGGAATTATCTCTGGAACTGAGCCTGTAATCGAACAGGAAAAAAACATGAACAGCAATAAGAAGCCAATTACAAGGTAAAAAAGGGAAGCCTTGTTGCACAGACTACTGCAAATACATCTCTCCTCTTAGAACAAAGCAGTCTCCAGGACTAACAAATGAAACTGGAAGTGAGAGAGGAAAGCAAACAAGCTAAGAGGTTTAGGGGCCAGGAATGGTCGTGGTGTGGATACAGCTGAAAGCAACACAGAATGTTGTCAGCATTAGCTCTGCATTGCTTTCAGCTGTCCTTACCTCCCTACAAAATCTGGGACAACACATAGTAATCCAAGATGTTCTGTAGGGAATAGACCAGGCAAGAATTAATGAAAGGAAGACTTCACCCAATCCATGGTAAATCTTTAAAAACTACCACAATAGCTTACAATGGCTCTATTTCTCTCAAGTATAATTGATAGCTCATTACTCCTAACCTACTGAAGACTAAAGATGCTTTCTGAGTTCTACAGGGAATATTTTCTGCAGCATGAAGGAAAATTTCCCCATAGCCATACATTACTATAGACATAGCTCTGAACACCTAGTCACACAGGGACAACTGGGAGGAAGCTCTAAGCCTCTAGGTTAGATGAGCATAGCCAAGGGACAACCATACTCTGGAGTTCTATGTTATTATAAGAGACTTAATAGCCATTTTAGTTCAGAGTAGCATGTGGAAAGATTATTTCCATTGCTGATGACTCCAGAGTCCATACAGAAGCGCAAACAGAACTGTGAACAAGTGCTTGCTGTATTTCTGTGCTCTTTCACCTCCAGGAATCTGGCAGGACTTTAACACTACAATGGCAAGATTCTTTATGCTATAAGATGTATAGGGTTGAAAACAAGACACTGGAAGCGAGTGAAGCATTAGACTTTTTATAATCATCAACAGAAGATGACAGTGTTCTGAATCTACCTGGATTTACTAGGCATCAGACTCTGTGGGTGCACAAGTGGTGGTGGTGGTGGGCAGTAAGTGTTGTGTGTGCCACACCGGTTTTGTGCAATACACTGAACACAGATCAATATTATACAAAGGAAACTTCACAATGTCAGAGCTAGGCATATTGCCAAAAAGAGGTACTGCACAGTAATTATATTAACAGAAATACCTGGCCCAAGTTCTAAAGGTTTAAAGAAAGTCTTTGCTCTTTAGCTGTAGGGGAAGACCAGGCTACACTGACACTGCATCTGCTAACAAGGTTATAAAGATTAAAGAGAGAAATAAAACTGTAGAGCCTTTTTCCCCTCCAGGGTTTGGGGGGCTCCACACTTAGGGGGACAAGCAAACATTCCTAAATGGAGATTACTAAGCTGGAAATGAGTACATATGAAAAACTGTATGTTTAAACAATTGCGAGAGAGACTAAGCCACTACTGTGATGAAGGTCCTGTATGCTGACAATGTAATCCATGACCCTACTGGGCCAAGTATTTTTAAATCTGAGACAGGAAAATAAACTACATTAATATATGAATCGAGAGAAATCTCACCAAACACTTTGTACAGCTTTAATTCTGCTGTGTACAAACCAGCTGAACCCAAACCTGAGCAGACAGAGAAAAGATTTTACAATAACCAACATGACATAGAAGAACAACAAGAGCTTGGGCTGTTTAGCATAAGCAAATAAATGCCAAAAGAATTTTAAGCAAGCAGTGAGAAGTGTTATGTATCTCAAGAATAAGATTTCATTAGATTGTGCCACAAAAAGAGACTAATGATGAATGATAATTGCCAATCTCAGCACACTAACGAGTGTCTAGTAGTACTGAAACATTCCTCTAGTTCAGGAGAAAATTAAACAATGTAGTTAGAGAAGTCTCTAATGTTGAGGTCTAACTCCTATAAATGCTACAGGGCTGACGGAAACCAGAAAGAACTAGAATCGACTGCAGTGAAGACTGCTGTCAATACTATATTCTTCATAGATCACTCAAGGGTTCCTTATATTTGGTTACTGACATGTATACAAACTAAACCAGAAAGCAAGTGCATATG